ATCGTGGAGGTTTTGCTCTGTATTTAAAACACAATGAAACAATTCCTATCATAGCTTTCTGTCACTACTAAACGACTTTCGTCACAACAATTTGCAACGTCTCCAACGACATAGCCACTGGTGGTACCATTTAAAGGGTGAATACTGAAAGCTGTTTTTCAGTCTTAAATGTGGACAGTGGCGAGTCTTAGACACAAGGGATATAACAATCGCGGTTCGAACCTCGCATTCTCCCCGAAAATATTTATACTTGCCAACACCATGTGACGAGTTTCATAAGGTTTTAAAGCCTAAGATTTGTGTTGTTTTCATCTTCTCCGAATAAGCTGAAAAGCACCGATATACCTGAAGTTTGGTTCAAGAACCTCACAGAATCTACCTGTTAGTAGTCACCCTTGCCAACACCATATCGTGAGGGGGCGGTGGTGTAGCCTCGTGGTTAAAGCGATCGATCGTCACGCTGAAGACCCGGGTTCGATTCCCCACATGCGTACAATATGTGAAGTCCATTTATGGTGTCCCACGCCGTGATATTGCTAGAATATTGCTAAAAGCAACGTAAAACCATACTCACTCACTCTCATATCGTGGGTTTCACCAAGGTATTAAAGCTTAAGATTTTTTGTCGTTTTCAATGAGCTGAAAAGCATCGATATACCTGAAATAATGTTAACGAACCTCAAGCAAACATTCAAATCCTTACATGAGTGATGTGCGGGATATGCATCGACTTGCAAGACCACAGGCATAGCTCTACCTTTACAAATTGGCAGAGATAAATATTTAACAGGAACAATATGCCCACTGGCTCAAGAGCTGATTAATTTAGTACCTCCGTGTGGACACGGGTCAAGCAAAGGCCCCTAGATCCCCATGGTCCTCTGAAAGTGGGAATGGCAACATGACCTGGCTGCTTCTCCATAAAGTCTTTCAAGCGTGACCCGTTAGTGCCTCTTCCAGTGTCCATTATTTCCACCCCCCACGAGGTGTTATTTCATATCCATTCACTTTTATTGACCTTTATCTGAATTTCAAATGAAAGCAACCAAACCAATTGCTATTTATATGAAGTAATTGCGTTCATCTTCAGTGAATTAATAATATTGTGCTTTACGATTTGCATAATGAAAGTTCCAGCTTAGCGTGAGCATGTTCCCTAACACGCTATATCTGTCAATAGAGAGACGTTGTCTTCATCCATAAAACACGACCAGGTATCGTACTTTAATGCTTATATTGAATTCAGAATCAGATAAGTGTGATTGTCTTTCATCATTGAATTCTTCTAGAAAAAATAAACAAAAGCTGGCTTTATGTGTTTGTACTTTTACATGTCGTCTGGAGTTAACGTGACACAATGGCGACAAACAAACACTTCGCATCTGAATCTTCTTTCGTTTGGAAAGTGTCTCAGATTATCACCATTGTCACGTTTACATGTCGTCTGGAGTTAACGTGACACAATGGCGACAAACAAACACTTCGCATCTGAATCTTCTTTTCGTTGGAAAATGTCTCAAATTATCACCATTGTTACTGAGCTGATACATTAAACCATATCATTATCGTGATAAGCATGCAGCATATATAGTTTAATGCTAAATGGCGTTAACTAATCGTCCAAATGAATATTGCCGGTGCAGTGAGCATGGTCATTCGTTCACTGAAGCAATGTTAGCAAATTCAAGACAATGGACATCAGAAATGTGTTCCACACGTTCTCAAATTGCAAGGTATATCCTACCGCGAATGTAAGTGGCGACATGTGGTTTCACCTTAGGCAAGAGAGTTTGTTCAAAATTGCGTCTGTTCAGCCAGCAGAAAATGGGTACCCGGTGGGATAAATCATGCAACCATTAACCTTCTATCGCTTCACAGGCAGCTTGGGTTATCCGGGGTAATAATAATCAGATTGTTTGGATGCTTCGAGCATGCATTGTGCATGAAGAAATACGCATGATAAATGGACTATTATGGTTTACAGATTAAAAATAGTAAGCAGCAGAGAGGGTTCGGGTGATCCTGGCACAGTCAGGCTGGTAAGGCTCATCGTCACCTCAGGGCCTTTGCCCCTCTACACGCAGCCCAGACAGTGAATAGGACTTCTCCCAGGAAACACTGCCTAGTCGAACCCACCAAGAACCTTTCGGAGAATATGTAGGCTTCCCAACACTGCGGCCTTCTGCATTACCCAGAGTGTCAGAAGGGTTGTGCTCCCGGTGGAGAACCCGGACACTCTCTTCTGATCTACGCCAAGAGCACCGAGAACAGTAGGGTGTCTGACGACAGTGTACTTGGGATGCAAGCGAGACATTACAAAGGCGAGGTCCGCATATTTAGCATGTCTTTCCTGAATCTTGCCAATCACGTTGCTGTCAAAGGGGACAGAAAATTCAATGATATAAATAAATTCATTGTCAAAAAGGACAAGATCAGGTTTGTTGGCAGGAATTCTTCTGAGGCTGTATATGGGCCTATTCCACAGAAGTTTGAAAGCAGCATTTCCCATGACACCCTGGACATGTTCAGGGTCGTACCATGGATGGACCTCAGAGTAAAAGCCACAGGCATGGCGGAGACGGTAATAAAAGCAACGAGCCATATGCTGTTTGTGCCAAGGAAGGGCATCCTTCAAGGTGTCAAGGTGTTGGACAGTCTCTGTGAATTCGGTTGGATTACTCTTCTGTTCCACACACTGCATATATACACGAAGCAATGGCTTCTCAGAAAGCTTCTCCACAAATGACGGACTCTGGGCAGACTTGGTGAATAACTTCACCTGCTTTACTCACATCGCTGTACCGTCCAGCAGTACATCGCCATCAACAAAATCAACCTCAAATTTCAGATTCTGTCCAACAACCTGGGCTCGCTTACAATAGCTGTGGAATTCCTTGCTTGACATGCATCACCAGAGGATCATCCAATAAATAAATATGTGCAAAAGTACACAATAAAATTCTAGAAGAATCTCCACATTAATAAAACCCCGACCTCACAAATTAGTTAGCATATATACTACCCATCAAAAGTTTAGACGCACTAGTGTAAATGTAGCCACTTACTTCACTGACTGACTGACTGAGTTTGGTTTTACGCCGCTTTTAGCAATATTCCAGCAATATCAATATCACGGCGGGGGACACCAGAAATGTGCTTCACTCATTGTACCCATGTGGGGATTCGAACCTGGGTCTTCGGCGTGACGAGCCAACGCTTTAACCTCTAGACTACCCCACCGCCCGCCACTTACTTCAGGCAACTGTTCTAAACTGGATTTTACAAAATAGTCCATACTGATTTAAGGTACTGTTTACACATGAACTGATGTACTGTAAAACAAATTCGTAACTTGGAACAGATCATTGTCATGAGTTCAATAAATTGATAAAATCAGTGAAAATTGGCGAATTCTTAACAAAACTTAAAACCAAAACGCAGCTGTTCACATGCCCGATATTATCACACACACACACACACACACACACACAAACGAGGGTGATGGGCTCTGTTATCAGACCTGATCCTTCTGATCAGGCGGTCAAGGCTCTGGATATCTTGTTTTGTCCAATCAACTTTTCCAAAGTATTAGGAAAGGCCTGGCACAGCAAATGCATTGGTGGCTTATTGTTACTCATGGGCAGGATGAATAAGTAAAGTTTAACCTACGTCTTTCAGCTTTCAAACTTCCGTTATCCTAATTATAAGCAATATGTAAATGAGGTATCTCTTAAGAAACATTCAAAAGCAATATTGATAAGAACTTCTGCGTTTTGATGTAGAAATTTAAATAATTTCAAATCGTCAAACTACCAGTTAACATGTCTTAGTAACTTTATTGACAAATCAAAGTTAAAATAGAACAACCGATCATTATTAATTGAGTCACGGGTTTCAGTCCTATTGACGATTACTCGAGAAATTATTGTTACCAAATCGATAATTCTATAGTAGACGATACTTTCTCCTAAAATGCTTATAATATTAGGCAGGAAAATGTTTCACCTGACGTTTCTTTTAAGCAGATGAAAGGATCCTTTTTAGAATGTAGCATAACTACGCTTCCATAGCAACGCTTGTCAACATCGATACTGCAAGACTAACTAACAACCCATGGTTTCAGTGTCCGTCAGAGAACAATCACTCGAACAATGCTAGTAGTCGGGTACTGAACGGTTGAAGAATTTCCATCTTCAATCAAAGGCCGTTCTACAAACAGCATTCTTTTAATCATTGTGAGTCATTAATGTGGTCAGGATACACGGGGGTGGGGTAGCCTAGTTGTTGAGGCGTCCAAATCCCCACATGGGCCCATTTCTGGTGCCCCCCCCCTCCCCCTGTGATATTTCCGGAATATTAAAATGAGGCGTAAAACCTTCGTCACTCGCTCATCAGACATACAAAATATCGACTTATCTCAATAATTCATTTTGATTATGACTATCTAAATTCAAATATTTTCTCGCCAAGCATCCTTTGGATAAGCATACCTACTACACCTTTATTAATCTAGACGTATAATTTAATTGTCATAATGTGACTGAATTCTTTTTAACCTGGGCTGATATGTAACTGTGAATATATTGAAATGGTTGCGTACAACTAAAGAGGACGAATTTACGTAAGCACAAGAGAGGTTAACAGGTTTAGCGACCAGATCGTGTTAGCGGTAAGTTGTGGACGTGTTAAATAAGTGGTCTTCAGTTCTTGTCTTCTAGTACAGGCTGTTTTGTATGACTGAGTATTTGTTGTCTTGCTCAATATCGTACTTGGAGACAACGAAGGTAAATATTTCCTGTGGCGGTGTTAACAAGTTCTTCAGTCACAATATAATGATTCCCATATTTGGAAAACAACCATCTTGGTTCACGCCGTAATATGCGTCCCTGTGATTTCATTGGTCGCTGAACGGCGATGAGTTGAAACGTCAACTACGATTTCATTGGCCGGGCCTATTGCCAAGTGACAAAAAGCTCGGTGTAGTCCGTCTGCAGCCTTTGTTTCGTTGATGTCGCCAAGGATACGACGTTTAGGGCACCACGGACGCCCTTGCCTGGAAGTAAGTTTCCACAACATTTCTGGCAGCTATGGTTACAGATACCATAAAAGAGATGCTTCAATGTAAACGCCGTACATTTGCGGGCTGATTCTGTTCAGAGCGGTTGAATTCATCATGGCTCATTTTCAGCTGATGCTCGCTATTACAGGTAAGACATATTGATAGATATGTCTACACCAAGAAAATAAATACAAGCATTTTGTAGATATTCCTATGTTTACCTGCTGGTAATCAGTCTGTGTATTCTGCCAAGATATATTTCTTTGTTTTACTTCAACTTTCGATTAGATTTCAGACAGTTGAAGCAGTTATTGTCAATCTTAATTTGGACAAAGTAAGATTTGTTCTCTGAACGAATTCGTTTTCATTTTAACCGTATTTATAGCCACCGATGGTTTGTGTACGCATGTTTAATCAATCCCTTAATTTTAAAAATAATTTAATTTAATTCTAAATTCTACTTCGAAAATATATAGCCCAAGAAAATGATAATGTTCCGGGTAGAATTTGACACACGCGCCTTTACCTGACCTCGGGCCCCGGGATCGCGGCCTTTCAAACAATATAATTGATAACAATTATAGCAATAGAGATTAAAAAATGTATAACGATATTTTAACATTTCGATTATCTTTTCAAATTTAGCAATCAAATTGTATTGTGTTGTCGCTTAAATAGAGTTTATTGCCATGGCCTTCTGTAATATGTAGACATCCTGTATTATAGTGAATATTATCATGAAAAGGGGCTTTCACATCTTACCATGGCACATTTCTTCAGAATTTAATAATCTTTCCGAAACCTTTTCTGAAGAAACAGGGACTTGTTTCTGTTTGTTTTGCAAGGTTTTAAACGTCGTAGTTGTTTTGAACAAAGCACTACTCTTGATACAACATACAGGCTTATTTATTTTAGTTTATTTTCTAAATGCCTTTTCGAACATTTTTCTATCTTACGCAAATACTACTTATATTTGTATTAATTAATCACCAACACAAGTTATAATCCACAGAGATTATTGATAGGTTTTGTTACTTATATCCATTGACATTAGCTTAATTTAGTGTGTTGAATATACCGTGTTTAACCTGTTACTGTAGAATAAATATTTTGCTCTGATATCAAAACAAGTCTCTGACAATACGATATTTTGAGGCCAAATTTTCTTATGTCATAAGCCTGGAAGCATTCACATGTATTTCTGAACGACTACACTATCGGCTTTCTTAGTTTGATTTGCTCGCATTTTATATGTTTGTTCCTTTCTATCAGCTTAATTGAATACGTGTATGGCGTAAACGAAGAAGAGCCATCATGCAAAGGTGTAAGAGTACAGAGAACAAGTCCAGATGCAGGACTCGTTGATGTGAAGGACAATTCGTGTCGTTTTAGTATCCTGTAGTTTTCTTTATATACTTTTCACAACACGTAGGGGAACCTGAACGTTCAATTTGGATGGGAAGTATACGCGTTAACAAACCTTTCCAAGACAGACATCTTATGAATGCACCACCACTTCTCACCACCTATAAACACAACGGGTGCACGTGCACAACGAAGTAGCCCATACACGTGCATAGGGTGTCCTTCTTGATTTGACGGTTTTCAAGAAGGTCTATTAATCACCGTAGCAGGGTATGAAATTAGGCCCGTCCGACAGCCCGAGACGGGTTAGATTTCAGACGGACGGTCTAGATTCACAGCTAGCCAGCCCGATGGTCTGGTAAAACATTTAGATGTCATATACATCTGAGTCATATCTTGGTGTCTGGTCTGGTTAAATCCATTTTGGACTGGTAACATTTTGAAGTTACCAGTCCTGATGTCTGGCTGTAGTTTTGGCTTATTTCATACACTGAAGTCTGTAGACTATTGATTTCTACAATCATCTTGCATAAGCGTACAGTGCGTGAAGCCCATTCCTGGTGTCGCACAATATTGCTGAAAGTGGCGAAAACTTGATCTGGTTGACGTCATGATGCAAACGTGTCAACTTGGCAAAGTGAAATCAACAGGACATGGAAGCAACACCAGACAAGATCAGCTACCCAGCGACATGCAGGTGGTCGACAGCGCTCTGGTCTGATATTGCTGGAATATTGCTAATAGCGGCGTAAAACCAAACTCACGCACTCAATTTACAATAGCATAACGTGTGTGGCCACCTTTTGCGGTGCTGAGGCAGCGATGGGGCATTGACGATGCCAGAAATTGAAAGCTGTCTTGGGGATGTTGTTCCAAATGTCGAAGATTACACCTAGTGTTGTAGCATGACTGGCTGGTTCTACTTTCGGTTACGACATCTACCACAAATTGGCATATCCAAAGATATGGAACCATTCGATAAGCGCCATTCAAATTCCCATTCACAACGAGCAGATTTGCGACCCCATACCATTACACTTCTATTCTAAACTAACGGCGTTGAGAAACGTTAGCGTCGCTACAACTTTCTCCTGGACACATGTAGACCATTGCATGACCATTAGAGCAGTCAGATAATCTGCGAACCGCCCACAGCTCCAGTTTGGACTTCTGAACTTCACATGCTGTCTACACCCAGTTAGTCGTGCCTAACACTTAAGCAAAATTGGACGTTTTGCTGGACTTTGGGTCTTGATGATGATTCTGAGGATGTTTTGACGTGACGTCACATGTAGACGATCGTTACAAAAGTTGCACAATTGCCCACCAAACATAATGTTTCCAAAGTGCGTTTGTTCAAAATTGCCTCTGTTCACCCAGCAGAAAATGGGTACCCTGTACCTAGTCATGTAACAGTAACTTCCTAGTGACTAACAGGCAGATTGGGTTATCTGGGGTAATGTGCTGTGCCATTCATTGTTAGCGTTATGAGCATACCTGGTGTTTGCAGCTTACCCAGGTAGATTTTCAGCAAAACGGTGGTAATGCACATGGTTCACGGCTAAACAGCAGTGTTTTGCTTTGACATACAAATCCTATTTATGCGAGTATTATGCTCTCAATAATGTGCAAACATCCAAATTGTTCGCCGTGCATTAACTTGCACGTGTAAATTGTAAATCACCCTAAAGTTCACGAGAAGAATACCTATTGAAACTTGTATGATGGATTTCAGAACAAAAGCAAATTATTATTGTGTATAATAATTATATTTTCAATATCTGTGTACATACATGTGTACACTGACGTTCAGACTGAAGTTTAGCCCTTGGAGGCATGGAGTCGTCCTAGTTTTATTACACGATTTAACAGATTTGACAGAATGATGTGAGATTTATTTTTTTGTCATTTACAGGTATTGTGTTATGTCTGGCGATATGCAAAGCTGCGATTACTGACTGCGTCAACAACAACAGCTGTAACGGCCACGGCACGTGTCCCAGTCAGTGTTCGGCACCATGTTCGTGCACGGACGGCTACGGTGGCCATGACTGCACTATCCGTAAGTGTTCATCAACATGATGAGGTGTTCTCAGTTACCTCAAACTATTTTCATTTTATTTATTTATTTATTTATTTATTTATTTATTTGTTTATAGTTCGATGGATCGATTGATGGATGGATGGATCGATCGATCAATTGATTGATTGATTGATTGATTGATCTATTATTATTTGTTTATTTTATTATCATTATTATTATTTTTTTAATATATATTTTTATTTCTTTTATTTTTTTAAACAAAATTTTTTGGGGGGGGCGTATTAAGGGATTAGTACTGAGGGATTATAGTCTGTTGCTTATCGTCTTATATTATTGCTTCAGTCAAAAACTATTGTCACAGGCTTTAGCCAGTGCAGCCGATGCCGCGGTCCCCATCTACTAGTCCCTAAGTGTTCGGCAACATGATGACCCTCGGAAACAACACGCTATCAAATATCAGGGACGCGGCACCAAACCAAATCGCTCGTCATCTTATTAGTGAATGGTAATCAACAAGTACGTGCAGTGAAATTTCAATTGCACACGTACAAGTCGCACACCTGGCTGTTCTACCAGCAAGTGGTCCTCAATCGTAAGAAATAGCAAAAGTTACAACAAAATAATGATTGTTTCTTAAACGACTTTTTTATTCGGGTGTCCAAAATTAGGAGACAAATCATAAGAGTTGGTGTGTCGATTTCATGTGACTGCAAAATTTGGTTTTGTGGCAATTATTTGATTTTGTGTTAGTGAGCGATTCATCGGTCTCAAATGAAGTCAAACGGACTATAGTCAGTTAAATGGATTAAGAGATACACTGGATGGGAACATTCTGAGGAGATGAACTCTTTAAAGGCACAATGTCACACATTTTCGACAGTATTTAGCCTATATTATATATATTGGGGCATATACGCTCACTTTTGCTTCCTATTGATGCAATAAAAGACTTATTATCCCTTACGACTTGCCTGAAAACGATAATTGAAACTTCGAGGCGAACAGCTTCCAAATAGAGAACAATTGCCATATATGAAACAATTGCTCCGTACATCGAAAACAGTCACACACGGTATTGTTGGTGTTTGCCATACTGGTTCAAGTCACAAGTTGTGCGTGGGATATTCAAGGGACATAACTCTATGGGGGTCGCGTGAAATAATGGTCTCCCGGCAGAGGGCGCGTGAGTCGATTTAATGCAACGTTGCATTAATTCATTCGAACCTTTCAATTTAATATTGTAAACAAAATAGGTATATTTTTTAAATAAAATAAATTATATGGTAGCTTCACTGACAGTCTAAGTAAACTCAGGCTCAGTAGTATTCGTTACACTGTTATAATGAGTCTAACAAACCCTAGGTAGCGTCAGCTAACCTTTGAGCGACCTATGACCGTCCAATCAAACGCGAGACGGCCGGACGATTTAACCAATCAGACAACGACTACTTGTTAGGGTTCGGCGGTTTGGGGATTTTCTCTTCCCTGGTCGCTGACACTGATCTATCAACAAACGAAAATCCGCATAAAACACAGATATTTGACCTGCAGTTTTTACTCTTATGAGTTTCTAATGACATGGTTACTATTTGCTTATATTTTCGCAAGATGACATCCTTGAATATTGACAAAAATGTTACTTTCAGCGACTGTTTACTCATTGCGTGTATCACTCGGAAGCGATCGTCCGGAAAATAGCATTTGGAATCGTTCGAGTTTTTGAGGTAAAGGTTCAAACGGTATGTGCGAATGTTAACTTTCTCGATTTGGTAAGCTGTGTTCTGATTGGTCAACCCAAAAGGTTAGCTGACGCGACCTTCTATTAGGTTTTGTTAGACTCAGTATCCCAGTGTGACGAATAATACTGAGATAGTTAGTATTATTGAGAAAAATGGTGTGATATAGTGCCTTTATTGTACATACTGTAAAACATCAGTTTTGGTTTTTGCCTCTGTTACAGCACCCATTTGCACTGCAGCTGGAAGTGAGTGTGGTACCAACGGTGCCTGTACAACCTCATCAAGCCCCTATGTCTGCACCTGCTCCAACGGATATACTGGTGAAACGTGTACCGTAGGTGAGAAAACAGGCATTAAGATTCATCACAGCCACATAGGATGCAAGTTGACGTTTAACTTACTAGGAGGGTGAAATGCTAAGGGTAACCTTGGGCGAGTATTTGATTATATGTTCATTTTATCTTAAGCAAGTTGACGTTTAGCCATCTAGGATGATGAACACCAAGGGTTATCTTGCGCGAGTATTTGATTATATGCTCATTTCATCTTAAGGAAGGTGACATTTAACCAACTTGGAGTCTGAAACACAAAGAATCATCTTGCCCGAATCTTTGACTCTATTCATTTCATCTGAAGCAGGTTGACATTAAACCAACTAGCACGATGAAAACCCAAGGGTCATCTTGGGCGAATCTTCTTTCATTTCATCTTCCATAAACCAGCCAGTAGGGTAGAAACCCAAGGGTCACCTTGGGCGTAACTTTGATTTTGAGTTAGATTCTAACGGTCTAATTGGTTGTGCACCTTGACGTTGCAAGATTGTATCCGCTTTTCTACGCCATGATCTGTCTATTAACCTTGATATGACCATCTTCTTTCCTACAGCCCCTATCTGTACTGCTGCCGGAAACCAGTGTGGCGCTAATGGTGCCTGCACGACATCGTCAGTGCCATACGTCTGCACCTGCTCCAACGGATATTCAGGGGCACTGTGTACCACAGGTAAATAGACGCCTCGTTTAGTTAGATTGTCACCAACAGACTGACAGTGAATGTAACACCGTTGTGTAGCTTTGTGAACGTTGACCCGTTTGTCAAGCAAGGTATCCATTTAAAATTAACGGACTTGAGAGAGAGCTTAGTCTCACGCCGCTATTACCAATATTCCAGCAATATCACGACAGGGCACACCAAATTGGCTACACACATTGAACCCATGTGGGGAATCAAACCCGGGTCTTCCATTCGTATAACAACCTCAGATGGGCGATTGGGTAGCCTAGTGGTTAAAACGTTGGCTAGTAACGCAGAAGACCCGCTTTAGATTCCCCACATGGGTACAATGTATGAAGCCCATTTCTTGTGTCCCCGCCCTGATATTGCTGCAATAATGCTAAAAGCGGCGTAAAACTATACTCACTATTACAAGGTTGAATTACTCCCGTGTAACTCGGCACCTAAGACCAGCTGCAAAGACATGTGTTGGCGCGTGGTCCTGTTCATAGAGCTGTCACAAATCAGTGGAAGTTAAGCAACGTTGAGCTCGGAGAGTTCTTGTATGGGTGACCGTGTTTGGCAGCTTGACTCCTCAGAGTTTCTAGGATTTCAGTCCTGCCCCACACCGAAGCACATTTGATACATGTGGTATCACCTTAGGCAAGTGAGTTGGTTCAAGCATGCGACTGTTCACCCAGCAGAAAATGGGTACCCGGTGGGATAAGTCATGTGACTATAACCTTCTAGCACCTCACAGGCAGCTTGGGTTATCCGGGGTTATAATGAACTGCCTGTTTGTCAGCGCTTCGAGCATCCACTTGGTGTATAGCATATATTTCTTGTAACAGCCCCGGTCTGTACTGCTGCCGGAAGCCAGTGTGGAGCCCAAGGCAGCTGCACAACGTCGTCCACTCCATACGTGTGCACCTGCACCGGCGGATACACTGGGCCAACATGTAACATAGGTAAGGTGATAATACTCCCATCGTGGCCAGCAGCGACTGACAGAGTTCACTGCAAGGTGTACATTGATAAGTTATGGATCATACAAGAAGTTACGGATCATTTTGTCAAAGTCGAACTCAATATTCCAGCTATGTGGTCTGTAAATTCAGTGGACCTGACAATTCAGTGATCAACATCATGAGCATCGATCTACGCAATTGGGATACGATAATATGTGTCAATTAAGTCAGCGAGCCTGACCAGCCAATCCCATTAGTCACCTTTTACGACAAGCATTGGCTGCTGAAGATCAATTCTAACCCCGATCTTCAAGGGTTATATGAGGTATTTGAATCACCATACGAAAAACTATATGTTTGATGAATGCTAATGAACTATGCCATTTTAGAAAGACCCAAATGTAACACATGTTATATTTGGGATTCGGCTTTCCCAGCACAGTACAGAATCTAGCACATTTTAGGTTGAGTCCCATGCCGGATTTGAACCCACACTCTCAGTCAGGCACCTTATCACACACAATCACCGATCTAACCCACGCAGCCACTACGGCTTCCACAAAATGGAAGTCTGACAACTGGTAGTATGGACCAACTCTGGCATGTGAAGGTTCGAATCCAGGATGGGATTCAATCTAAAAATGTAACAAAATCTGTCTTGACGAAGAGAAATCCCAAATGTATAGCACATATTGTATTCTGATTTCGTGGACAGACAATTCACAACATTTCAAATTTCATTGGTAACACAAAGGTATTGTGTATATTTACAGCTCCGATCTGTACTGCTGCCGGAAGCCAGTGTGGCGCTAATGGTGCCTGCACGACATCATCTACGCCATACGTCTGCACCTGCTCCAACGGATATTCAGGGGCACTGTGTACCACAGGTAATGCGACAATAGGCTGACTGTAAATGTGACACAGTTAACAATTTGTTTTAACTTTGAACCTTTGTAAAGCACACTATCCATGTAACCTAACGGATTTACGTACCCATACAGATAGATATACAAAGGCATGGATGTACACGCCCATGGATGGTGATCATATAGTCCTTTTCAGTCAAGTTCACGTCAAGTTCACTCATTCATGATTTTGGAATTAATACTAGCGACGCAACTTAAAGTCATTATATGTTCCATCACCATAACTGTGTACCGCTTGTGTAGTGCTTTATGTAGAAGTAACTGTATTTGTGAGTGAATATTTTACAGCTCCAGTCTGCACTGCTGCCGGAAACCAGTGTGGAAGTCAAGGCAGCTGTACGACATCGGCAACTCCATACGTCTGTACCTGCACTGGCGGATACTCAGGATCACTGTGTACCGTAGGTAAGGAGATCATTCGTTTTATTATTTCGTTTCGTTTGCTAAGTCAGAGTACATTCACCCAAAAAAAGGCATACTAATTTCCTCGTTATCTACAGCTATACATTTTGTATTTACAGCTCCAGTCTGCACTGCTGCCGGAAACCAGTGTGGCGCTAATGGTGCCTGCACGACATCTTCAACTCCATACGTCTGTACCTGCACGGGCGGATACACAGGATCACTGTGTACCGTAGGTAAGGAGATCATTCGTTTTATTTTTTCGTTTCATTTGCTAAGTCAGAGTACATTCACCCAAAAAAATGCATACTAATTTCCTCGTTATCTACAGCTATACATTTTGTATTTACAGCTCCAGTCTGCACTGCTGCCGGAAATCAGTGTGGCGCTAATGGTGCCTGCACGACATCTTCAACTCCATACGTCTGTACCTGCACGGGCGGATACACAGGATCACTGTGTACCGTAGGTAAGGAGATCATTCGTTTTATTTTTTCGTTTCGTTTGCTAAGTCAGAGTACATTCACCCAAAAAAATGCATACTAATTTCCTCGTTATCTACAGCTATACTTGTTGTATTTACAGCTCCAGTCTGCACTGCTGCCGGAAACCAGTGTGGAAGTCAAGGCAGCTGTACGACATCGGCAACTCCTTACGTCTGTACCTGCACGGGCGGATACACAGGATCACTGTGTACCGTAGGTAAGGAGATCATTCGTTTTATTATTTCGTTTCGTTTGCTAAGTCAGAGTACATTCACCCAAGAAAATGCATACTAATTTCCTCGTTATCTACAGCTATACTTGTTGTATTTACAGCTCCAGTCTGCACTGCTGCCGGAAACCAGTGTGGCGCTAATGGTGCCTGCACGACATCTTCAACTCCATACGTCTGTACCTGCACGGGCGGATACACAGGATCACTGTGTACCGTAGGTAAGGAGACACCTCGTTTACGATTCATTCATGGTCCGGTATACCTGGGCGGGTATAATAATAATAGTCCATTTATATTGCGCATTTATCCATGCTCAAAGCGCTGACATATTACTCCTGGTCAACGAGTACAGAACACTCCCTGTGGAGAATACAACCGGTCGCCTGTCAGGCGCATAAGGTTCAAATTCAGACTACCATCATATCCAGGAATCCAATTTACTGCTGGGTGGACAGAGGCAATTTTGAACTAACTCACCTGCCTAAGGTGAGACCACATGTATCACATGTGCTTCGTTGTGGGGTAGGACTGAAGTGAACCATCCGAGGACTCTACGCGCCCAACGTTGCTTATCGTCAACTGATTTGTGACATGAGCTCTGCGCACAGGACCACACACGCCATATACAAGGACACTGTCTATGGGGACCTATGTAGAGTTAAATAAAGTGTGATGGAATAATATCAATGCCAGAACAGATGATATTTATCTGACGGCATCAAAAGGATGTCGCTGCTTCGACGATACCCTTTTTAAATTATATTTTCCCCTGGATTTTGATCAAAAGCTTTTCCAATTGTCTTTACAGCTCCAGTCTGTACTGCTGCCGGAAACCAGTGTGGAAGTCAAGGCAGCTGTACGACATCGTCAACTCCATACGTCTGTACCTGCACGGGCGGATACTCAGGATCACTGTGTACCACAGGTATTGTCACGACATAATAAATCCCAGTCAGTAATTAGAGACCTATCAAACTTGCTGTGCCACCATAAATAACAGCTTCTTCAGAACACGGTCCAAAATTGTTTCAAAAATGGTTTGCTTCCACTTCAGCACCAGTCTGCACAGCTGCAGGAAACCAATGTGGCACCAAGGGAGGCTGTAACACCTGCGGGAGCACCTACACCTGTCAGTGTTATTCTGGCTATGGTGGAACCACGTGTGCTACAGGTAAGGAGCACCTCTGCAGACCATGACATAGGCATGTGACATATACATTGAATGTTTCCTCGCTAGGAATACCTCTTTCAACATGACATATTATCAGCTCCACGTGAACTGCAGGACAAAAGAAAGAAAACATGCATATTTTGGCAGAATATATTTTCTTAATGTTTATTGTCAAGTTCATTATTTCCACATCATTAAACAACAGACATGTGGAGATGATATACCCCACCCCCACCACAGGCGAAGATTAAAGATTAAAAAAATATTTTTTGAGATGACCCCCGACTTGAAATGCTACACAATACAATACATTATGACGGGGTCATCTCAAATGTTTTATGTGTTTTTAACATCTTTAATCCTCGCAAAGACACGAGGGCCTGTGACCCTCACCCCAAGGTCTGGGTGCTTGTCGTAAGAGGCGACTAACGAGATCGGGTGGACAGGATCGCTGACTTGATTGACTCATGTCATCTTATCCCAATTGTGTAGATCGATGCTCATGCCTTTGATCAGTGGATTGTCTTGTCCAGACTCGATTATTTATAGCTGAAATATTGCTGAGTGCGGCGTAAAACAGCACACCAACCAGTATTTTACAACATTCAAATAGGCACCAGCTCACCGCTAGTCTGTATTTAAAGGCTTCATGAAGATATATTGGAACGTTATTGGAACGTTAACGGACGGCGGACAGAAGAACGGACACGCTGAAAGCTATATTCCGCCCCGGAAAAACCTTTTAGATGTGTTGATTCACTTTTGAAAATGTTCCTCAATTGTATTACACACAATACTTTTAAGAAAAAACACGTAAACCAAATACTACAAACACTGTCTAACAAACACACAGTTTGGTAATACAAGTCTTAGACTGATTTCTATGCAAATATTATCGGTGAATATTATTTTCCAGCTCCCCCGTGCACTGCACGAGGAAGTGAGTGCAAGAACGGTGGAACGTGCAACACTGCCACTTTCCCCTACACGTGTGCATGTCCATCGGGGCTTACTGGAGCCACATGTCGTAAGTTACTTGCTACTGTTAGAAATAATCTGCAGTAACCTATGCTTGTACTAACGGTTTCGGTTGGTAAGGGTCAGGATCCACAAAGCCTTCGCATCGCTTCGACATTCGTAAGCCTATAATAAACTATTGAGTTACGACAGGTCGTAAAGTTACGAATGCTGTGCGGATTGGAGCCAAGGCTCGCGGACAAGCTAGCACGCTCATACACACAATTGTGTAGATCGATGCTCGTGTTTTCAATCATTTGATTGTCTGGTTCAGACACGATTATGTACAGTCAGCCATTATATGGTTGGATTATTGCCGAGTTCGGCGTAAAACGACAAACAACATGCTAACATAATTAACTCTCAGTCTTAAATCAAGTTACGAACCAATGTCCTTGTACCAAAAAATACAAAAATATAAAATATATTTCCACAACCCAATGGCCATTGTGTTTATAACAACACAGACTGTTATTAATTGCACGTAATTTGATTGATACTAAAAACCATTCCTTTTCTGTGTCTTTTACAGAGGGCGCTGGCAGTCAGGTGACCTTCTTTGTGGGCACGCTCCTCGTCTCTGCATTGTCGAGTCTTGTCTTGATGCAGTATTAATCGTCGGCTTAAATGCTATAACAGTATTACAGTGACGAAATATTTCTTAAAACATCCGTTTGCACGTCTACCACCAGACCGTGTGAATAGACACCAACGTAGATCTAAATATAGCTCCTGGATCCATAAAATGACGTGAAACATTAAGTGTGTCACTGACTTGATTCGTGTAACCATAGCAACAGTCGGAAATGGTTGATTGGTGTTTCTTCCCTCTCTCTGTCCTACTTAAAAACATGAAACTTCTTTCTGTCCTTTATCTTTCCACTTGTCCAATACCATGATGACGTGTCGAGTTACTGACCTGTGTCGGTTGTTCCACTGAAATAAACGGTGCGGTTCAAGACAAAATCCATATTTGTGGTCTTTTTTATGAAATTACACTTAACGCTGCTTTCAATAGTATACCAGTTCCAGTAAACATCGGTTATATCGATCTCAAGGGGACTAGTAAGTTTGGTTGGTTTATAACAGTAGTTTGCTATGAGCATTTCGACTAAAACAGTCATTGGCCAGGACTGAAAAGCCAGTTCGTAATATCGGTCAGTTTGTTATATACACTGTTCATTTGATGGAAGAAAATCCGAACAGATGAAGTTGGTGATGTTTACTGCTTCAGTGAGTGAGTGAGTGAGTGAGTGTTTGAGTGAGTAGGTGAGTGTGTGAGTGTTTGAGTGAGTGAGTGAGTGAGTGGGTGTGAGTGGATGAGTTAGTAGGTGAGTGTGTGTGTGTTTGAGTGGGTGAGTTAACATTTAACGTCGCTTCGGCGTTATTTCAGCCATATAGCGACTGCTTTGGTCAAACGCCCATAAGCAAGAAGAACAATTAATCATGATCAGGTGAATCTGGGATGCACCCAAATCAAGGGTTCAAATCCAGGATTCTGGGAAGCCTGGGGACAATGTGAATATCTTCATTCTGAAGACCCGGGTTAGAATTGATCTTCATCAACCCATGCTTGTAAGAGGGGACTAACGGAGTTGGGTGGTCAGGCTTGGTGACTTGATTGACGCATGTCATCGGTTCCGAAGTGTTTAGACTCTCATGGTCTTGATCACTGGAATGTCTGGTTCAAAATTTGTAATAAGTTTTTACCAAAGTTAGAGTCGATTGTATAGTTCTGACAATATCATAAGCATGTGTTTATGAATTCCTGTCAAATAGTGATAAAACCATGTTTCAATGGAAAACAGGACAAATATTTCTCAAATTCTAATGTTGAAAGCACAAAGACGACCAAATGTTCTACAGGCAACACTTCACTGTGAAGAGTTGCTTCTCTTTAGGATGTCCAAAACCAATGATCGTGGGTTTGAATCCCGGATCAATGTTTGTGGATTTCCGAACACCATACCCGTTCTTGTCTTTTTCACCAAAGTGGTAAAGACCCGCGTCTCATTAAACTTTACTCCCAAATCAAAATGACAAGCAATTCCGTGGCTAAAATACCATGCAAAGGGACATTAGATTCGCTCTGTCTTTCTTAACATAGAAACCAATCTGAGGAAATAAACCAAAATCATAAGGAACATCACAAAGATAAGGGTCATTGTACGATTCTGAACATGTCATCTTGAGCATGAATGTAGTCACCATCAACTGACACCAGGTGTTCATGAACAGATGACCAAACCTGATTGGTGAAACAATAACTAACGCGTAGTCTCTGGAAATTCCTGCTGTACACACTTAGATTATATTTGAACCATTCTGTCGCACGGCAAACCATTTTCAGTGACGTCAACGAAACGAAGCTAACATAAAATCCTCATTTGCCTACCCGGTTGAAAAGTGTTTTGTCTCAGGCTACGATAGACACCACACTCACACACACGAAACCCGAACAGTGCTTGATCCGTTTAGTTCCGAACGTCGGTGAGACAAACATCAAGTACGAGGCTTAAACTTAAAAGTCACATGCAACCAAAAAATCAAACATAATTAAAACACAATTATCACTTAGTCATGACATATAATATACATTGCTGGTTATTGTTGAGTGCCTTCTACAACATAGGAGATAAGTGTGTATCGCTGTCCTTCTGATATTCCTCCGAACGGAATCTCTACCCATTTTAGGTACAATGTGTATGTTACAGAATAGTAGGGAATAGTCTTAAAGGTCACATGCAACCAAAAAATCAAATATAATTAAAAACAATTATCACTTATTCATGACATATAATATACATTGTTGGTTATGAAAAAACATATAAACAAAATTATAAGCGTACAATCGCAAATCAAAAGTGCAATATTGTGTACTACGGTTTACTTCCCAAGAAACGAAGCAGCCGGGATACCGAACCCAGTCAGAGCGGGTGGGTGTGCACTCAAGTGTAACTGCTGGTTCATTTGCATATGCGCTCACGGCTTATTGTGTGTGTATATATAGAGATGTTGGGTTTTGTAAATACTAGTACCTGCTCATTTTTTTGTGTATAACATTTTGCAATCAACAGACATCATAACATGTCATGTGTTCAACTATCACACCGGCCTGTCTTTGTAATTACATAATGTGACAGAGACCGAGCTCGGGCCATAAATCAATGCATTTTGTTTATGGAGTATAGCCTGATTGGTGTTAAGTTCAAATTGCATGTGGTCAGTGATAGCAGCTGTGTATTGAATATTGTCATTAGCAGACAGGCAGGCAGACACACAGGTGTCAATAAAACAAGACATTGAGTTTAGTCTGTGACAACGACATATCTATATCACAGTTAGAAATTCTGTCAACGCTAAATAATGACATTGCTTTTAAGTATCGAACTGAGAAAGTGACTCGGTAAGAAGAACGTGTGGTGAAATTATATAAACAGTTAATTTACTGTCATAACATACAAAAAGCTCGCGCCTGTGAGATATCAACAAAACATTACAAAAATAGCTCACACCAAAGCCTTCACCGAGTATTCACCGGACAACCCACTTCCAAGCTGCGTGAACCTATTTCACTGCGCACGTGCTATGAGCGCAGCCCAGCTGTTGAAACCCGTTTTCCCCAGAAAAGTCTGGGGAAAATTAGTGAAACGTTTGAACTCCGATTTCGCGCGGTTTTTTTCATCGCGTTGTTTTTCAACTTTATAAGTTGAATTTGCATTTTTGACGATTTGTTTCGGTAAGTCCATACCGAAAGGTATCAGAATCTGCAAAGTTGTGTTTTACGTTGCATGTGACCTTTAATTATATAGTCTTAATGGCAACATAAAGGGATCTACGGCCGTGAAGTGAAGACGGGATATGACAGCATGCACAAAGACTTCCACGGAAGGGTTCAAATGTAACAAGTGTTATATTTGGGATTATACTTTCATAGTAACAATACTTTCCGCCTCTTTTGGAGGATTGAGTCCCATCGGAATTCGACCCCATTCTCTGAGTGTAAGGCACCTAATCGCCAGCGCACCATGTCGGAGATCTAACCCACCCAGCCATCGCCGCTTACACAAAATGGAAGTCCGACAGCTGGTTGTCGAGACGACGTGATTTAAACATATTTTATTCACAAATGTGAAAGGGATTGGGGACAAGTTATCCAACTTAAAATACCCTCTCCCTAATATTTACATAAATGCATTTTCAATTTTATACATTGTCAGAAGGAATAGAGAGAAAGAATAGGAAAGTTAGAGAGAGAAAGGGAAACAACTCATGTGATTACTCAAACAGTTTGGATTGCTAAATAAATGTTTGCACACATTTGAAAACGTATTGTATGTGTTATATTTTGGCACCGCTCCCATCCACGAAAACTCTGAGCCTTTTTCAGAACGTTATCAGAGGAGAACCCCTGCGACTCGAGCTCGGGTTAAAGAGTCCAGTCGTAGGTGGAAACTAAAGCAAATTCATTCGGCAAGACTTCATTTTGTATTTCATAAAAACAGTTACATCAATAGAGTTAAACATAGGCTAAGGTAACTTCCTGAACAAAGCATATTTGAAGTTTAAATACATGACATGTGTGAAAGGAATAAGTACGAACTGAAACAATTGCTGTGTGCAAAGACGGGTAGGGTATTAAGGAAGCCCGGATGTGCTCCGGTTTCATAAGTGCGAGAACATGACAGTAATTGTCAGATGCTATGGGATTCAGCTGTTGGTTGGTTGGTTGGTTGGTGTGTTCTTCAAAACGCCGCACTCAGCAATATTCCAGCTATATGGAGGGGGTCTTTAAATAATCGAGTCTTGACCAGACAATCCAGTGATCAATATCATGAGCACCTTTCTACACAATTAGGATACGATGACATGTGTCAACCAAGTCATCCCCTTGACCATCCTGTTAGTCGCTTCTTACAACAAGCATGGGTTACTGAAGACCAATTCTAATCAGGATCTTCACGGGTTATATTCAGCTGTAACAACACATATGATGTTAAATTCGCAGTGGTTCCAAATAACTCAAAATGTCGAATGTGTGTCCATAAGTCCATGAAGTCTCTGCTGAAAGCAGTATCCAACACCGACCATACTGACATTTGACTGGTATGGTTTCCTTCCAGTCCTCGCGTTAGTACACCGGACTCACTTCGACCAACAGTGAGAACATACGAGACTGTTTGCAATACTATAGCTCGTATTATAAGCATTCTAGGCCTTTGTCAAGATGGCCCCGAGGATGGAGATGACGAGCAAACTCGGGGTCAGGGTCGTCACAGGTGGTGCTGCACTGGTCTCTGGAAGAAACAGACATGTCTAATTAACTGAACACATCTCAAATTCTCAAATACTGTAAATCCAGAATGAAAAGACTGACAAAGTTATTACTGAAAGCAGTAAATGCGCCATCGTGTCACTTGATTGTCTGGTCCATCACTTGCCTGTCTGGTTTGTTTTCAGACCTGTTAGGAATGCTGTGGTGCATCAGGCCACAAACAAGTCGACTCTGCTTTTAGCAGAAATGTTGTGACAATGCAAAGGGTTTTGTCGCTTTCACACATAACGTTACTTGCTCCCTATATCGAACTTCTGTTCGCCACAGACACAATAGATATTTGGCAAATATTCGACGCTTGACGTATAACAATTATGAAGAGTAAAACAGCCTCACCAAATTGTTTCACCTACCACATTTTCCACCTGTATATCCGCTCATACAGGAACATTCAATTCCATTGCAGGTACCTTAGTTCTGACAGTCTGCACTTGTGCTGCAAGCTGTAAACAACAATGACAATATTTATTTTAAAGTTTATAAGTAAGTGTATAGTTGACAAGTACAAATGAGAAGGTATTTTGCATGAGCGAGAGAGACAGTTACATTTACACCCTTCGGTAATTTCAATACAATACAATACGCTTCTAGTATAGAGGCATATCCTATGCATCGATAGCCTATGATTTGAAGATGCGAGCAATGGCAGATCGGATAGTAAGAAATGAGAGTTACGTCCCTTGGTGTGTCGTCTGTTTGACGAGCTTTCACTTGTCAATGCCAAACAAGGTGTAAAGGCTTTGCAGTTACTTGCAAATAGATATGCTTACCCCCAACCCCATATAAAACCGAGAACCTAAGGTGGGGTGAAGGTCATCAGGCTCTTTTGAGAATTGATATGGTGTAGTGGGGTATACAGTGAGACCCCAGATACCCGGACCCCAAATATCCGGAAACCTCGCCTTCCGGTCAATTTTCATAAAAAAACAATCTGTTACGTTATATATCTGACTGTCTATAACGGTTATGCGGTATGTGGTTTCCGTTCCCGGACGGTAAAGTTTACAAACCAACCGGTTAAATCAACTCAAAATTGACTCACTTATCCGCACGAATCTTTGATCTTCCGTTGACCGTGTGAAGTGAAGCGCGAGTATATATAAGACACTGCTATAAAATAACCTCTGCATGTCATTTTTGCATTGTTGAGAATGATACGTTACGACTTTGATATTTTAATATACGACTTTAATATATCAGTATGGTGATATATGTGACTCTGGTGCGTTTTACTGAAGAAATTTCCTTTCAGTCTTAGAACCTTTAGAAATTATAATGAAATATCCGACTTGAAAATCGAAAGTGCCCTGAACATTTGAACTGTTCCGTAAGTAACGATATGTTTTCACATCTATCATCACATCTATTTTATCCCTATGTAAATCCATTTCCATTCCTTGAGATTCAGTGTTAAAATGGGTCACCAGCAACGTGTGAGGAAATTTTCAGGCAGGCATTGGACAACAAACAATGAGTTGGTGAGTGAGTTTAGTTTTACGCAGCACTCAGCAATATTCCAGCTATACGGCGACGGTCTGTAAATAATCGAGTCTGGACCAGACAATCCAGTGATCAAAATCATGAGCATCGATGTGCGCAATTGGGATACGATGACATGTGTCAACCAAGCCAGCGAGTCTGACCACTTGATCCCGTTAGTCGCCTCTTACGACAAGCATGCGTTACTGAAGATCAATTCTTACCCGGATCTTCACGGGTGAACAGCAAACAAGCAAACGATCCAGCCGATTAAGTGGTCAGCATGGAAAACATGGTGAATTATTAGGCGACATGTTTATGTGGAATTGTTCTGCTTGGTGAAGTAGGTTAAAACACATGTATTACCAACTTGACATCTTCGACCTGTGTACCCTGTAGGACAGGAACAGCTTCCCAATCCACCGATGGCTGTAGGGTCACAGGTACCACCATTCACACACCCGTGTCCCAAAGTGCAATAGTCGCCTGTATCGCCGCCGCCTCCGTGTGAAAGCTGTACAGCTGGATTCAGAAAACAATTGATTGATTGAGTGAGTTTACTTTTTAGCAACATTGTAGGAATATCACGGCTGGGGACCAGAGTGAGTGAGTGAGTTTAGTTTTACGCCGCACTCAGCAATATTCCAGCCATATGGCGGCGATCTGTAAATAATCGGGTCTGGACCAGACAATCTAGTCAGCAACAGCATGAGCATCGATCTACCCAATTGGGAACCGATGGCATGTGTCAACCAAGTCAGCGAGCCTGACCACCCGGTCCCGTTCGTCGCCTCTTACGACTGAAGATCAATATTCTGACCCTGACCTTCACAGGTATCTGGGGACCAGAAACTGGCTTCAAACATTCTTCTCATGTCGGGAATCGAACCCGGGTCTTCGGCGTGACGAGCGAGCGATTGTGGTTTTACGCCGCTTTTAGAAATATTCCAGAAATAGCACGGCGGGGAACACCATAAATGGGCGTCATACATTGTACCCATGTGGAGAATCGAACCTGGCCCTTCGTCGTGACGAGCGAAGTCTTTCACCACTCGGCTAGCCCTCCGCATGGTCGCCAGGTGGATTTACACTACCCCTTCACTCAACGGTGACCGGGTCTTCGGCATTACGAGCGAGTGAGTGAGTGAGTGATTATGGTTTTACGCTGCTTTAAGCAATCTTCCAGCAATCTCTCGGCGGGGGACACCAGAAATGGGCGTCACGCGTTGTACCCATGTGACGAATCGAAGGCTTTCACCACTCAGCTAAACCTCCGCTTGGACCCCAGCTGGATTTACACCACCACTTCACTCACTGGTGTTAAGTAACAGGTTTACCGGAAATTAATAGGGCAAATATTCAACGTTTAAAATAGTGGTAGATATTAAGTTCCCGACTAAGGGTCACACAGAAGAAGTTCATTTCAGTTTGTAGGCCATCGGCCCATGTACAAAAAAGCAATGCAAATGATATTGTGCATAATGGCAATAGGCAGACATTTGTGCTATCAACATATAGAAGATCGACATTTAGGAGATGATTTGATCATTTTAGCACAATTCAATAACAGCACTATGTCATTCGAAGTTATTAACTTTATGAATTTTCAAGCATTTGTTAAATTATTCCATAGAGGTAAATACGGTTTTCGTAGTGTTACATATTTATCACATTCAAACAGAAAGTGGACTTTATCTTCATTTCTATTACTATTACACATTTTACAATTTACATCAGAGTTCATAGTTGCCTTCAATATAATATTACATCGTAATGGTATTGCATTGAATCTTAACATAATATCTAAACATAAATACATCACACAAAATGACTGTATTACCCAAATTTACTAACGTTAGGAAATATACGTTTCATCCGGCGGTCATATGAACAACGTTGGAAATCTACGTGTCATCTGGCTGTCAGATTTAGACACGTTTAAAAGGGTGTTAAAATTAACGAACTCTCAACTCTGTATTTACATGTATTTCACAGGTGTGTAAATCTGGCCATTGTTTTCATGTGTTTTCTAGCATGTGTAACATATGTAAATGCTGTGATTGTAGGACATGCATTTTAATACCTTTGAAATCTCGTATGACCAGGGTTAGGTTTGCCATATATTTTGTACACGCGTAAATGGTTGGTAATGGGTAAATATAGTGTTACAGGATTAACACTACTTTAACATGTATTTCAATGGTTCTGTAATGTAACTTTCACATCGGGTTCGTTAGCGCTTCGGACCACGCCATAATGCACGGAGATCATTAGAAACACATGGCGAAGTGATACCCATGACAGAGCACCACTATTAACGTGCCTGCCTTTCTTGACATACACATGATGTCTGATTAAAAGGTTCAAATATTGGGTCTATGGGCTAGAGCGATATGTATGTTAGGGAGTGTGTGTGTGTGCATGTGTGTGAGAGGGATGGGTGTTTGATGGGGCAGGCCTAGGGTGGGGTGATGGCGGTGGGGTACTGATAAGCCTTTCTGCAGCTGGTCAGTAGGTAATACCGTTTATACTTTTTGTAATGGAAATTACATTACAGTTTAAATAACTTACCTTAGGTACACTTCTTATATATAACATGCAAGGAGAGACTGCTTATTGCAATAAAACACAGACAGGTGTGTTCACACAGACATGAACCGGACTGATCATAGCTGCACACATTTTATTATCTATTCTTTCAAAAATGATGATTACAATGTATTAATGATTCCCGGTGTAAATTACTGTTGTAAATGTGTAAACATGCACATACGTACTTGGTATAACCACTTTTTTATTCGGAATCTAGATATTATCCCATACGGACGTTTTCTAAAATGTCAGTTCCCCGACGGAATTTACATAAATGTACACCTATTTTGATTCCAGTTATAGGGTAGATTATAGAAAATTCTTGTGATTACAATTAGTTCATAAGCTTAGGTAACTACGCAGTTTGGATAATTACTGGAAGTTTACCACCTGACAGCATTTGTTACTCATGCGTTTTCTTGCTTTTTGCTCTTTGATTTGTTGTACATTACATAATTATGTTAATCATTTTGGCATCCCGATATCATGGAATAAATGTTTACTTATTAATCTATCAAAGTGCCGAAACTTATTGTCTGTATGCGTTACTGTTATTGAGTGAAACTGTTAAATGTACCTTCGTACAGAATTTCCAGAAAATAGAAACTGAAAATTGCTGAATAAATGGAAAACTAAATTTGGTAAAGAGTGCAAACAATTATTATTCATATACCAGTTTTAAAGTATCAGTGTGCAGATGTTCAATGGAAAAAAAGGCCAAGTAATTTGGAAGATTCACAGACTAACGGTATTTCTTTACAGTATTTTCTTACAGACATATATAGAAAATTATTTTCACGGGTATGGAACGAGTGGGAAAAGCATATGCAAAGCATCTGAATCAGCTGAGATTATCCGTTAAAAACATCACAACAATTACTTATCATTAATTGCAACCAAAGCATTACATAAAGGCCATATTTCCAGACAGCATGACATCACCCTTGGCCGGAGTTCCAAATATTTGACACCGAAACTTGTCAGTTAACGCAAAGAAATAACCCTTTTGTTTTACAATGATGCCTTAATCATAGTCACAATGAAGTATAGGTTGCCATGTGTTTTCAAATATGACATTATGACTGAGTCAGTGAAATACTAATATTTACCAAATAAATTTGTAATGAAACCTTTCTTCAAGCAGTGACTTTACGCCATAAATAGCTAGACTTGCTTAGATCATTAAAAAAAGAAAAGAAAAGAAACAAAAAAAACTTCTACCCGTCCCTACTAGACTAACAACTAGTCTCTGAAATGAACATATTTTACAGAAAAAAAGTTCATAGTGAAAAAGAAAAATATAATAAAAGGAGCCCTGAGAAATTCTCCTGAAGCTGTGGAAATCTACACTTGCCACATTTTCTAGATTCGTGGGCTTGGATATATTTGCTTCAGGGTCTGTATGACAGACTACGTCCCTACATACGCTCAATCACATGTGTCTCCAGGTCACGGAGAATCATTGGTGTAGGGGCCCGTATTGCAATGATCGTGCGTTTGCATGTGTTGTTGACGCGGCATGGGCGCCTTGTAACATCACTATTTGTTTATGATTCACAAACACATGCTCATGATATGGTCGGAATCATGCCAC